CTGCTGAGCTCATTTTTGTTCCCTGGACACAGCAGCATATGCTCTTCCTTCTCCTGCATTTCTCTCTGTAGAAGGAGGATTTAACTGCATGTGGCTTCAGCGGGGCAGACACTGTGCTGGGCTCCGTGCTGGTGTGGGAGCTCTGCCCAAGAGAGCGTACACAGAGTAAGTCCTGCTGCCTGCGTGCCGCTTCCCATCCCATTTTCAGATGGGACTTTGTAGTACATGAAGCTTGAGGCACGAGTCTTGCACAAAAGAGAGTGGCAAAAGACAAGTGAGGAGGAAAATAGCTGCTCTTCTAAACAGACAGACCCGTGGCCTTGCTTTTGCAATGGGGGGTTTTATTTTTTTTAAACACCCTAATCTGCCTGGTTTGGAAGACAGAACTGAGCTTGGCTCTCTCATGAGTAGAACAGCATGGGTACTGGGACCCTGGTTACTGGAGTGTGGAAAAGAAACTGCTCATCTCCTGTCTGTGAGTGTGATGTCTTGGTAACAGAGGCCCTGGTGTATATATAAAGGGCAAAGACGTATCAAGGGCAACATTCGGAATTTTGTCCCCAGCCATATTTGTGTTTTCAAAAATTACTTATTCAGGGAATGCTGTGATGCTGAGATGATTCCAGTACAAAGCAGTTAACTGCCTGGAAGAGTAACGTGAGAAACTCTGGGTCCCAGTTCCAGTGTTTTCAGTTAAGAACCACCCCAGCAGTGGGGTCGGGAGTGGGTATGCAGAAACACTGACAGGTACTGCAAGAGGCAGGACTGCAGAAACGAAGTGGCGAGGGGCACACACTTCTCCTTTACAGCATTGTGTGTCTGCGACCTGCAGAGGGGCACGGTACAGAGGCATCTAAACCCGCTTCCTCATAGGTACAGGTGTTGCAGATACATGATTGCCAGATACGGGAAGCAGGAAATAATGATTTATTGTTTGAAATGGCACTCAACCCCCCTGTGCTCAGAATAAAAGAAAAAAAAAAACCAGGAGAGATTGCAGTGATACATAGTCATGTGTAAACAGAGGTGAAACTATGTCTTGGCACAGACGATGCGTATTTAAAAACAAATTTGAAGCAAAGACAAGTGCACAGCGTGCACTGTGAGACTTGGAAGTGCACTGCCTGCCCTGGGATGCAAATGCCAGAGCTCACATGGGTCCAAAAATTATTAGAAAAACATTTAAATGAAAAACCTCTCCAGGCTATTCTGCATCTTGGTGGAGGATTGTCTGAGGTGCAGCAGGAACGAGGGAGGTTTGTGCTCTGGCTGGGGCTGGGGCTGGGTGCTCCCTTACCCGCCAGATCCTGCTCACTCCATTCTGCTTTGAAAAAATACATGGGTAATTTAAAAACAGTTACTGGTTCTGAGCAATGAGTGAGCTGCTTGTCGGCTCTCCTAGCTGCTGCCTGCAAGGAAGATGGTATTTCTGTACTTGTAAATCACCTGTGGATGCAAACAATGTCTCTACCAATCTTCGTGCTGCCAGTAACGTATGTGCAGGGAAGGGATGGGTTAACCTAAGCGCTCTCTTGGTCTTCCACGTGTGTGTCACTCCCTGGAGGGTGCTATAGACCAGTATTTTGGCAGGAGCCAGGTGGCCAGAATTGTCAGTATAAGGAGTAACGGCCTTAAAGCAATAACGGCGATGCAGTACTCGTCACATGCAGGTCTGTCCCAGTCTGGATGCCATCTGGAATCACCTATGAACAAAACAAGTTACTTGTTTTCAAGTATAACTGCACCAAGGGCAACAGATGGAAGCAGTAAATTCTGGTGGTACTTACTAATGACTTTGTCACGCTCTGCATTTTCTGGAGAGAGAAAAGAAGTGAACATCAGCAAACTTGCACTTTATAAACAATTTGAGTCTTAACCAAAAGGGAACGAAGCGTGAGCCTCGCGATGCGCTCACAAATGCAGCTACAGGAGCTGCGTTTCTTTCCAGGAAGAAGCAAAGACCCGCTGACTTCGGGAGAGCCCTCCAGCGACTCTTGGGGCATTGCTGGGGAGCACTTGATCACACTGTGGTGACTTCTCCCCCCACTAGTGACTGGCACAGAGAGGACTCGCTCTCCCAGGTGGGAAGATCACTTTGGGTTTAAGATCCTCAGCCCGTAACTAGTGTGAGTGGGGGACTCCCTCTCCGTCCTGCAGTGCTGGTGGTTTAATGCCACCCTCCCGCTCCACTAGTTCACCGGGGTTGGGCACTGGGGAAAAGTGTGACCGTACCCTTGGCTCCCCCCAGGCAGATGTCCACAGCACAGTGCCGTGTCCTTACAGGAGCTGCAGAAGGTCTCCTCTCCACCTGCCTCCATCCGGCCATTGCAAAGCCAAGGGCAGGTGAATGGGGCGGGCCGCCAGGGGCTCAGGCAGAGCACCACGTCCCTGCCTGTGCACATTGGCCTGGCTCCCTCCCAGAGCTTAGGGAAAAGCAGAGGGTTCAGTGGAGCTCAGAGGGTTCAGGAAAGCTGATGTTCAGTGGAGCGAGCAGCTTTGGCAGTGGGGGCAAGGCTTGCTTGGACCCGCACCGGCTCAAGCTGCAGCTCACGCACCAGGTAATAACCGTGAGCTCCCGGGAGGGGATGTGTATCCCCTTCTGTGCTTCCCGTTTCATCAAGCAGTAACTTCTGACAGGGGTTGTAGCACCTTAAACTGCAGCCACTACATCTCCTGTATCATATCCTCCAGCACATGAAGAGCAGATCCCATCCCATCACTTCCCAGGGTAGAAAACAGGCTCTTTCCGCCCTCCTCCCCTCTCTTCGTGCATCACTGCTCACTTGGCTTCTGACTGCGGTTTTCCAGACTATATTTAGGAACAGGAGAGCGCTCTGCCTG